TTTTTTTAACATTTTCTAATGGTGGTGTGCCTCGTGATTTTTTTCATGAAAAAAGTGTGCCTTTGCACAAAAAAGGTTGAAAAACACTGGTTTAGCAGAGTGATGGCATGAGGGGGGGAGCTGTCTTTTTGTCTGTAATTACTGATTATACTATAGTATGCTGCATATACAAGTTCCAAAGGGCAAATAAGTTCCTCATAGTATAATGTGATTGATTGCAGCAACCATTTCTACATATACTTTGTTAAACAAATCAAAAGGTCCTATTGGGTTCACACTGCAACATAAATTGTACAATCCTTCCAAATACTTGCCATTGAAAAATTCCAAGGTGCAGAACAAGTCTAAACAGAATTATTTGCTTCTCGGGAGTCTTAAAACTTTTAATCTCCTGACTGCTTGTAATAAACAACTTCAGCATAGGTTAAATAGGAGTTACTGAAATTTAATGTTAATAAAAAATTGTGCAATATTTATATAATAAAATAGCACAGTATAAGTGGTAACAATCATTTTTGATTTGTAAGCATCTAAAAATATGATTTCTTACAGAGATGAGAAGGGGAACCTTCCATGTGATGACACTGGAAGACACTTAGTGGGAAAGCCAGTACATAAAGGATCTGAATCTCCAAATTCATTTCTCGACCAAGAGTATCGAAAGTGTTTTAATGTTGTTGAAGAAGATGCCATTTTGTATTGTTATGAATATGAAAAAGGAAGAACAAGTAGTTCTGGAAGAAGAGAAAGCACACCAACATATGGTATGTATTAATACTATTAATTATTTAAAAGCTATTTTTTTAGATTTGTTTCTAGTTACATATTTCCAATCCCAAAGATGTAAACATTGTTTATGCCTATAAAAGTTATCATGTACTTCTCACTTTATTCCTCTTTTGTGTTTCATTAAATTTAACCCAGCTGCGGAAGTCAGTTTTTGAAACCTGAATTGACCTAGGATTGTTCATTGAAATACAATCCTTGACAGTTTTAGGTTGGTTCGAAGCTAAGGAGGAAAGTGAATGAAAGTTGATGAATATTTGAGCACTACTAATTTGCATAAGCTTCCATTTTCATTTGTGCAAATTTGCATTCATTTATTTAATTAGATAAATTAAAAATGGAAAATTATAATTGTATATAATTGTATGCTGTAATTTCAATTTCAGACTACATCTGGACTTTTTAAAGTTTTGACTTAATTTGCAAACATTGCACAGATAGAACAAGTAGATAAATAGAAACATAAAAGTCCATTGAATGATTCTAATAGACTATTTTTTGCTTCCACTCAGTCCTATTATGGATATAAATATTCATGGTTGATGTAATAAAAAAATCCAGGAAAACAATTCCAATTCTATTGCCACTGTCCCTCTCCAGATTAATATCAGGTGGGGTCATTAGGGCAGTTTCTATTCTCAGAGCAGATGTAAAAGCTGGTTATGTCAGTCTAAAAAGAGAGAGATTTTGTGCAAGAGGATAATCTGTTAAATCCTCAAGCATGCAAAGACCTCCTGCTTGTTTGTGGGTGCATTATTTTGGTATATGGGAATCAACAGTCTCTTAACATTATTAACAGATGGAAATATTCTGCTTCTATAAATGAACTTCTATTTTTTGCAGTTATCTTAATTATTTCAGAAATCCATGTGGCACACAAAAATATAACATAGTAAGAAAGTACAATAAATGTAATAATCCCAGATCCTTGGGAAGGTCTTGATAGATGGATAAAAATGCCAAATCCAGTCTAATCATCTGGCTGGCTGTGTGATGTATAATAATAATTCCCTTTAGGTTGGGAACATCCTGGATAGACAACTGTGTGAGCTAGTTCCTCCAGTTTTTTTGGCAAGATTTTTGAAAGTGGCTTGCCTCCTTCCTAGAGCTGAGAGTGATTGACCTTAAGTCCTCTAACTGGACTCATGCCAAAAGTAGGATTAGAACTTAATTTCCCAGTTTCTAGCTGGTGCCTTAATCACCACACCAAGTTGTCTCTCTCACACTCTATACTGATTACTTGGTAACTTCATTTCAGGATATTCAAATTTTGATTTGATATTCATAATATGCCAGGATTTGTAATAATGATATCAGTTTTGCCATGTCATACCAAACTATATTTTTTTCTGACTGTCATATAACATAAATCCTCTTGAATTTGCTTACAAAATGTTTGACTACTACAATTAACTTTTCAAATGCCCATTTGTTTTTGATAACAAGTTATTTATACTATTTTTGTAAAAATGTAGGCTTATTAATCTTATCTGTATTTTTAAACATATAAATATGTGACTGTAGAAACAGAACTTAGAACTATTGGACTATCTAATTATGTCTGTTTTAACACTGAAAAATAAATAATTGTAGTGGTTTTTATTTATGTTTTTTGCAAAGAAATCTTATAATTGTTGACTGTACTATATGATCTTTCAATTTTATTTTAAAAACAGTAGTAATTATTGAAAAACATACCATTTGTAACAATAGCTAAGACTTAATGAGAAAATAAGCAATCAGTTGAACTTACTTTCTTTGTGATTTGGAGCTACAGCAATGCCCAAATTAATTAAGCTATAAATTAAGCGGTTTGTGTATGGCTTACAAAAACAAAACTAAAATTCTGCCAATTTGTATAAAAATTTCACAAGCAGTAGAAATTCTGATTTAAGTATCTAAAACCATTGAATACAAACCAAGGTACTGTACCTAACATAGTCTAGCCAAAGAGTAGACTTATTTTAATCAGTGGGTCTTAAGTTAATCAGAGCCAAGGTGGCGCAGTGGGTAGAGTGCAGTACTGCAGGCCACTTCAGCTGACTGCTAGTTCAACAGTTCAGCGGTTCAAATCTCACTGGCTCAGGGTTGACTCAGCCTTCCATCCTTCTGAGGTGGGTAAAATGAGGACCCGGATTGTGGGGGCAATATGCTGACTCTGTAAACCGCTTAGAGAGGGCTGAAAGCCCTATGAAGTGGTATATAAGTCTAACTGCTATTGCTATTGCTATTGCTATTGCTATATCGTATTGAAATACATTTTTTCAATTTATTTGCCCTAAAGATGAGAAGATTTGAATGTAATATAAAGCATCTGGAAAAGGTGGATGCATCCAATTTCAGTTGTGCTTTTTAAGTTCTAAACTATTGCTCTGCTTTCATTTTTAATTATCAGCTCTAATATTACCATATCCTTAATAATGATGTAATCCATTTTGAAAAGATTGAACACTACACTAACATATGATGAATGAGCTTAGCATTTTTGTAAGTTAAAAAACAATAATTTATACTGAGAAACATATGATTAGAATTCAATGAAAGCCATTCCTATTAAGTACTAAATTTTATTATTTTGATTCAAAGAGAAACATTTATTCCATTAGGGATAAGAGTTTCAAAAAAAGAAAAGAAAACCCTTAATTTTACAAAATTGGAAATTTGTTTCTATATCTCATGCAAATATCCCTATGTATTACATCAAAAGATAGTTAACTTTTCAGTACAGAGGTAATTAGCATAAAAATCAAGCAAGCCACTGATAAAAGTAAGACATTTCCTAGAAATGTATGATAAAAATACCTGATCTATATGCTTGTTTTATTTATTGGTTGGTCTGTTTTAAATTTCTATTACAGGAGGGAAATGTTGAATGAAATAAGACTGGAATAACAGAGAAAACTGGACAAAGTATCAAAATTATTTTTTGAATTTTTTTCCCTTAGAATTCGATTATACGTTAGGCTGAACAAAAAATTAAATGTAGGGTTCAAATTCTTTTCTGATTCCTTTTAGAATGGTTACATATTTTTCATCCATAGTATTGAATGCTGATTCATGCTGACATGTATGTATGACCATGTTCCATGCAAATGTATTACATATGGAAGTTATGAAAAACAACATAGATGATTTTGAACAATTGATATGTCTATTAAATTGAGGGGATTTTTGTCCTTGTAGGTACAGTAAAAGATTTGTAAAAATATCCACTTGATGACATTAAATCACATCAAATTTTATGCATGTGCCTGAATAAAATTCAGTTACAACTTAACTTTGCAAGTTTGCCCCAAGTATTGCTCAAGTCCAAGCAATCTGATTTATTTTGTTGCAGGGAAATTAAGGCCTATATCTATGCCGGTAGAATATAACTGGGTAGGGGATTATGAAGAACCTAGTAAAACAAAAAGAGACAGCAGGAGAGGTAAGTAATTCTGGTTACAAATTATGCATAGCATTATTTGATTATTTATTAGAAATATTCATTCCAAAATAGATAATCTTTAACTATATATTTACATTAACTATTCAACAGTTTTTATGATATACAGAGATTTGAAAAAAATGCCTTGTTAATATATTTGGTTGATCATCACCACAATCATCATTTTAGCCGTTGTCTGCAGGATGAAGGACTCTTCCACATGTTTCCAACCAATAAAGTCCTGAGCTCTCTTTTGTTAATTGGGCCCACAATACTAGCTAATGTTATCGATCCATCTTGTTTTAGATCTCTTTCATGGATGCTTTTTAATAAATGAGATCCCACTTGATTTGGTTGACATTTAAGCATATATGATGTTTATATTTAATTAATATCCTAAATTACAAATTGCTGTTTCCTAATTTACCAATTTTATAAGAGCGTGTGTCATATTGAATCAGGAAGAACGTAACAAAAAAATTCCATTGATGTTCTCTCTCACCATGCACTTAAAATGTTCCTCTTTGGTTATCCTTTTTTCCCTCATTTAAATGATTAGAAGATACTGCACATCAAAACACTTTATTTATAGAGTACATCACACTGCATGTGGGCCTTCAGATCAGGGCACTGTGTTGTGAATTAGTACTTAGGGATATAAACTGTGGAAAGTTATAATCATTTTCTCTGAGAACTTTAATACTCTAGAAGAGCTAAGTAAATGCAATAATGTACAGATATCTGCAGGGGGAAAACAGGTGGTTACTGTTGCCAATCTGTTCTATTTACATCAGTAAAAAATATCAGTAAATTTTATTTATATTAAAACAAAAATGCAAGAAAAAATTAGTGGGGCCTTGTTAAAAAAGCATTCTGTAGCAATAGCTTTTAGACTTATATACTGCTTCACAGTGCTTTACAGCCCTTTCTAAGTGGTTTACAGAGTCAGCATATTTCCCCCCAACAATCTGGGTCCTCATGTTACCGACCCCAGAAGGATGTATCTCCGTCTTTTCCTATGTTAGTATTACATATGCTTTGACAACTATTCAGAAGTGCTATGGAACCCATGGAAAGGCAGTATCTCTGTGTTATTCATTAAACAAGTCCAACTTCTTTCATGTTTCTATATAAATCTGAAAAAAAGGCTGCTGTGATGCTTTTGAAAGACAGGCAGAATATATATCTAATAAAAACCAACCAACCAAATAAATGAAGAGGCCATTAAATTGGTGTTATTTTAGTTCAAGACCCAAAGCACTTTATAAAAAAAAATCATGTTCAAAGAGTTCATACCATTTTGTGTGTATCGGTATGCTTTCCTAACTACTGTAATTATTCTTTCAATGGAAGCTACTACTAATAAGAAAGCTATTGTGACTGAAGAAATTGTATTGCTTCTCATACAGTTAGGTTAACGCCTTAGTTCAGTGCAGTGGTGGGTTTCAAAAATGTTCATTACCGGTTCGGTGGCTGTGGCTAGGGGCGGCATGTGAGTGAGTGGGTGTGACCAACTTGACATCAATCATGCCATGCCCACTCAGACACATGACCCCCTCACCAAGCCACACCCACAGGAAAACCTAGATTTTTTAAAAAAAAATTCTACCTATTTACCCCTATCCCAGTTTCCCCTTTTTTAGTGGCCCTGCCCTGCCCCACCTGCCACCCCAAAATTGCACCCCACTGCGAGACATGCATCTTACCAGAGTCTGGCAGCTTTGTCACATTTCTCAGCCGTTGTATGCAGGAGGTGAGTGCGAGGCAATTAACAAATTGTTGCACTTGTGAGAAGTTTTTCTTTACTATGCAAGTGCCGGGAGTGGCACCGAGGCTGCAGGTGCCTGAGGGGGGGGGGGAATGCTGCCCGACTGCCCTCTCCCAAAGCAACCTCGGAAGTTTTCAAGCTTATCTGGAGAGGTGTTTTTTTTTTAAAAAAAAAGAAAACTATGAAAAATCTGCAAGATCTGGAGCTGCCAGTCTCTGGTAAGATGTGCATCTCACAACCCACCCCATCCCCTGCCCCCACCCCCAAATTGCACCCCACTGCGAGCATCTCTCAGCCATTGTGTGCAAGGAAAGAAAGAAAAACTTTCCAAGAGTGCAAGAAGTTGTTAATTGCCTTGCACTCATAAGAAGTTTTTCTTTACTGTGCAAGGATTTTCCCTGCACACAATGGCTGAGAGACACTTGCAATAAGGTGCAACTTGGGAGTGGCAGGAGGGGCAGGGGATAGAGCAGGGTGGGGTGGGCCATCAGATGCGCATCTCACCAAAGACTAGCAGTTCTGGATCTTGTAGTTTTTCAGGGGTTTTCTTTTTTAAAAAAGCCTCTCCAGATGACTTCGAGGTTACTTTGGGAGGGGGAAGTCGGGCAGCGTTCCAACCTCCCCAAGTGCCTGCGACCTTGGAGCCTGCCCAGTTGGTTGGTTAAAGTGCAGGTTGGATTGTAAGACTCCATCACTGGAGGCTTTTAAAAAGGAGAACATTTCAGCAGCTGGTTGGCAAAGAAAGCTCTCATCTGTCACCAACACTGCTGCCACTGCCACCGGACAGTTGGACAAAGGAGCAGGTGGTGGCTGCGGCCTCGGTCTGGTGCAAGCTGCGTGCCTGACCTGGGGAGGATATGGAGTGGCTTGCTCAGGCAGCTGCTACGACAGCCGCAGCTTTCTTTCCTCTGATGGGCCTTTCCCGCAGTTGCAGCCCCAGCACTCCGCTCTTGATGGCACACTGAGCCAGGCCGCAGGGCTGTCCCATGTGTTGCACCCCCCTCCCAGCCTTTGCCCCAGCCTCCATGCTGTTTTTGGATGCTCAGCTTTCCAGGCTGCCCCCATCTCCACCACAGCATGGAGATCCAGACAAAGTCTGGGAGCGGGGGTGCAACACATGGGAGAACCTAGCTACAGTTTATTCATGAACAACATTCAAGAGAGGCAGGAAGAAAGGCCACTGGTGCTCACGAGTAAACTGAGGCTTCTAAGTGGGATTGAATCTCCCCGCTCACTTCTTCACCTCAGGGCATTGCTGGCAGCCACTTCCTTCTGAAGTCCGTGCTCTTCCCGCTGCTGCTTGGCCGTCTCAATGCGCAGAGGCAGGAGATAGCAGTTTCATTCACTACCTATAAGCTCCGGGGGGCGAGCAACTGAGCAAGCAAGCCAGGATCTGTCGACTGTCTCTAATCTGCGATTTACTCGTGAGTATATTTACTCAAGAGCATGGTGCTCATGAGTAAATTGCAGATTAGAGGCAGCCAGTGTGGGTTCTGCATCTGAAGGGCAGGCAGCCTGTGGCAGAGGCGGTTCTGACTCTGCTCTGCAGCGCTGGGGACCCTGTTGGCTTTTGGGGCTGCTGCTCCCCGTATCCTGGCCAAAACCATGCAGGAAAACTCTCCAGGAGTTCTGGGATGCTCCACTGCCACTGCTGCCACCGCAGCTGGGATAGGGATGGGGGCACTGCCCATAGCTGCTGCTGCTGCTGTTACCACTGCCCTCTCCTTCTGCTGCCACTGCCCTCTCCTGCCACCACCATCTTCTTCTGCCGGCCCCCTGCCCCCATCCCCACCACAATACCTACCTGTGTGTAGGCAGGAGGAAGCAGTGGATGCACGTGGCGAAGGCGAGGCAGGGCGAGCATCCAAGTGGGCAGACCAGTTCAGGGGCATGGCCAGCCTGTGGTCACTACCGGTTCTGTGACCCAGATTGGCATACCACTACCAGTTCTGCCGAACCAGTAGGAACCCACCTCTGGTTCAGTGACATAAAGTGTGGCTTTCAGACTCCAGAGATGTACTCAAATTCTATACCCTGAGCAGGATACTGAGATTCAGCAACAATAAAACTATATTGATATCAAAGTTTGCAAAAGAAAAATCCAAATACATATTCATTCACTAATTCAAACTTACCTACAAGCTTGTTTTTTTACACTTTGCCAAAGTGTATGTCATACATTCTGTTCATTTCACTTCAATCTTTTGTTAATTTGCCCAATGGCAATCAATGTTCTTCTCTCTGACAATTGTCCTCCTTCCTCTGATTGGTCTTCTTGGTTCCATGTTTTCCAATTTAGCATGGGTCCAGCTGAGGCTGTATTCTTCCAGGTTGTTTTCTTTGTTCATTTCCCCTGTCTATTATTTTGATTATCACTAGTGGTAGTGAAATGAAATTTGCTGTATTTCAAGGAAATTGAAGGGAAAGTTAAATGAAGTTCCTTTGACCCAACTTATAACAAGGATCATTTAAAGGCCTGAATCAGAGCAAGCTGGATAGTTAGAACTGATCTGATTGGTATTGGCAATATCCTGAATTTGCAGTATTGGTTCTCTGCAGTTTAAAAAGCATCCCTTCGTCTTTTAATTGCTTTATTGCCTCTAATTACTAAGCAAAAAACTCATCTTGTATTTACTTTCTTAAATTACTGTTCTGTTGTGGTAAGTTATTGATTTGAAGTAAAAGAGAGAAAAGGCAAAATCACTTCTTTCTCATCTGAATGGAAATGGGAACAGTTGCCAGAGCTGAAGAACAGCCAAATACTGAATTAATTGTTGACCCACAGCAGAATTCAGAAAATAAAGGGAGGGAAAAGCTATGTGGGGTTCTTTATTTCTTTAAAATCTTCTTTTAGTTAGATTTATGTTAATTTGCTAGTATTTAAGAAATAATTTTGTAATACATTTTTATACCTCCTGTCTAGAAAATTCACTTCTTCGATATATGAGTAATGAGAAAATAACTCAAGAAGATTATATGTTCCAAAGGAATAGCAAAAAGGACACAGGGAAAAAAACTAAAAAGAAAGACAAGAATAACAGTCCTAGTCATTATTCTCTATTACCTAGTTTACAAATGGAATCATTAAGGCAAGACAGTATGAGCACACCTGGACCTGAACCAACTTTGTACCATGTAAGTAAAATTATAAAATACTTCATTCTTTGTTGAGACTGCTGCTGAATAACTAAAATGACTACATGTATTTGTTAATACCTTATGTGTTCTTATCTTTTAAATATTATTTCCAACCTTATTTTTTATTATTATTATGATTCATCACACATTCTGTCAGATGGATGTGGCATTTTTATCCACCTATTAAATCCTTCCCAACATTTTATTGAATGATGGTGTTAACGGTATTGTCTCAGGATATAAACTGTTCCAAGTAAAGCTGCCTTTTGTAATTGATGATGATTTTGTCAATTCCAATGGTGTTCACTCACTGCACTGAAGGTGCCTATCATTATTGATACTATTTTTATTTTATTCTTGCCACAGTGTTATTACTGTTATTCCTTCAAATAACTGTTGACTTGTAGAAAGTGCCTGCACAGGTCAATTCAGTTTTCTTGGCGAGATTTTTTAGAAGTGCAATTGTTTTTGTCTCTTTCCTATGCTTGACAAATTAATGGGCTCAGAATCACCCAGCTAGTTTTTCACTTAAGGCAGAAGTAGAATTCACAGTCTCCTATTTTTCAGTCTGATACCTTAACCATTACATCAAACTTGCTGTTTGTATTATTATTAAATATTATTATTATTTTAATATTAAATGAAATAGGAAAGTCTGACTCTTCAGTGGTTCAATTTGTAATGGACCATCTTTACTATTTTTTGTGAAGATAGGAAGCTGGGAAGTAGTATTATATGTGTACAGGTAGTCCTCAACAGTTCTTTTAATGACCTTTCAAAGTTACAATGGCACTGAAAAAAGTGACTTATGATCGTTTTTCACACTTAGACCATTGCAGCATCCCCATGGTCATGTAATCAAAATTCAGTTGCTTGGCAACTGGTTCATATTTATGATAGCTAAAGTGACCTGGACTTATGTGATCACTTTTTGCGACCTTCTGACAAGCAAAGTCAATTATTCACTTAACAAGTTGCCAACAACTGTGTGAAGAAAAGTTGTAAAATGGAGCAAAATTCACTTAACATTTTTTTCATTTAATATCATAAATTTTGGACTCAATTGTGGTCATAACTCGAGGACATTTTTTAACAATTATATATATAATGGAATTATTGGTTCCATTATAAAGCTATTGGTTTGCATGAAGAAAAATGTCAACGATTAAATAAGTGGCTCCCAGAAAACCTGGTTAAATATATTCAGCTTAAATCTGGCAATTACCATATTTTTGTGAGTATAAGACATTCTGAAGTATAAGATGCACCTAGCTTTTGGGGAGGAAAACAAGAAAAAAAAATCTACCTCTGCCTCCTTGCAGTAAACAGCAAACAGCCAGTTTCAGCTTCAACTTCAGCTCAGTCTAATTAGCACAAGTAGCTGATTGTCGGTTGAATTGTCCTCCTGACGATCAGCTGTTTCAAGCTGCAGGGATTGCCATAGCCTATTGCTGCCTCCGCACACCCCATTTTTGGGCTCTGCGCACCACATTTTCCATCTATTCCAATCCCCGCTGCCCAGAACAGGTGGAAAAGGGGGCAGCGTGGAGGTGGCAATAAGCAATGGCAATCCCTACAGCCTGAAACAGCTGATGTTTGGGAGGCCAATCCAACCAACAATCAGCCTCTTGTGCTAATCAGACTGTGCTGAAGCTAAAACTGAAACAAGCTGTTTGCTATTTGCTGCAAGGAGCAAATTGCTGGGAGGCAGAGGCCAAAGGGTGGAGCCAACAGGTGGGTGGGGCTACATTCTGTGTATAAGATGCACCCAAATTTTCACCCTCTTTTAGGTGGGGGAGTGTGTCTTGTACTCCAAAAAATACGGTAAATTCATATAAATCTTTGATTTCATGAATTACTAACATTTTTTTATTTTGAATGACCATTAAAAGAACGTATATATAGTTTTATGCTGCATTTATCTTCTAATAAACAACTTTTTGTTGCATTCTTTAAGACATAGAGATCGCTACTGAATATATCGTACAAAGAAAGGCGATATAATGGAGTTGCATATGCATATCTACCTTTTAAGACATAGGTTTTAAATTTGAATATTGGTCAGTGGCAGTCCCTGGCTGATCTTTTTTGTATTTGGAAACTAGTCATTCTTGGGAATTAGAACTTGCGAAGGAGATGTTCAAGTAATAAATAGGACTATAGACTACACTAGGATATTTTTTAATACATTTTTTTTATTTAACAAACAACACACACAAAAAATAATCATCTTACATTACTTCTTGTAGAAAGTGTGTCAATTAGAAAGTGTGCTACAATTAGCTTTCATGCATCACTTCCATGGTCATTACTTACATTCATAAGTATTCATTACTAGGATGTTTTTTTAAAAGAAAACGTATTGAAGAAAGTAATGATAAATCACCTTGGTTTTGTTGCCAAACAAACTACTTAGATATGTTTATGAAATCATAAAGAGTTGAGTTTTACAGCAAGATTTAACTTGAAATTTATGGAAAGTTTACAGATCTTGTGTTTAAGTATCTTCATATTCTTTGTATCAACTGAAAATAATCAGTTTGTATACAATAATTTTTAAACATGAATTATTTTAATTAAATTGAATTTTGCTTTAGACACTAAGCTTATGAAAATAGAAACTGATATATCTGTCATATAAGTGCAATTTAAATAAACATTGTAAAGATATATAAATCAAGCAATTTTTATTATGGTTACAGACCAGCATTACAAGTAAAATCATTTAAAAGTATTTATTTAAAGTATTTTATTAGGTGAGGTGTTTTATAGCAGATCCATGAGACCTTATAGAAGACACAATATTGTAGGACATGAACTGTAGTATCACTCAAACCATATGGGTTTGTTTGTTTGTTTGTGACAGCCCTCCAAAATTATACAAAAATCTAAGTGTCAACCCGGAATCCATTTTGGAACATCTTCAGGGCTGCCACAAGCAAGGCTGGTTGGAACTGTGGGAATGGGATATAAATTAAGAGGTTCCCCACCTCTTGTGGGGCTGCTGTCTAAGGTCCTGAGTACGGCTTACCCAGTACTGGGCAGCAGGAAGACTCAGGGAAGATAGAGAGGGGGGCAGAAGAGAGGCTGACTGATGTCAGTGGAACTATGGCAACAGGCAGGGCCTGCGGAGACAGCTCTGGGAGCCTCAGTTTCCCTTCAGTGGCCAGTCAGCACCCACAGCAGCAGAGTCAAATGCCTGACCCAAGGAGCAAGTCCCCTGGCTGTCAATGCAAGAGCTCCACCAATGGAGCGATGGCTCCGGTGACAACGTCGGGATACAGGTGCCCCAGAGCTTGTGAAGTGGCCGTCCACCCAAGAACTCTACTGGGCTGAGAAGGACTTATCCAACCACCCAACACTCCAGGATTGCCAGATTGCCTCATTGCTGGCAGAGCGCACCCCTATCCTTGAGTGGTCCCTGGACCACAATGCACCCTGGAAATGGGGTGCCCAACCAGACCTTGGAGGGGCTGCCAGAGAGGTTTGGCCAACTGAGTGTCATCAGCATGAGTCAGCATCACCAAGCCAGCCAAACCGTGATGGCCTTGGCCCAGCCAACATTCATCTTCCCCAGCCAAGGGGAGGGGCATTTCCTCCTTGTTCCATTTGGTGCAGAGTGGATCACACCCAGGTCTCCCTCAGTGGGCCTGATCTACTGCTTTGACACCTCAAACCCTGACAGCCACCAAACCATCATTGGCCTCCATGGGCCAGGCTAGCCCGGGGCTGTAGCAGGGTGTCTTCAACCTGTCAAGGTTACTCATCCTGCCACGTCAGCCACTTCTCCAGATGCCACCAGCAGACCAGATCCCCTGGCCGGGCATACTACCCCAGCCAGGCATGGTTCTAGTGCCGATAGGCATCAGCACTCACTCCTGCTTCACTGCCACCCGCACCGCCAGCAGCCCCACCCACTTCAGGGCTTCCTTTGATGGGAGCCCTGAGAAGCTGGTTTATTTCCTGAACCAGAGTTTTCTTGGGTTCACCAACTTATATAGACAATTTGTCCTTACCTTTGCTGAGGTGGCACTACCCATCACAAAGCTATTAAAGACAGAGGGGGAAAGCCACAACCCAGCCAGCCATGGTCCCTGGACTGTCAGCACACCTTCAAAAGCTAAAGAGGCTGTTTGCTGAGGAGCCAGTTCTCAAGCACCCTGATCCCAAACAACCATTTGTGGTCCAGGCAGACACCAGTGACTTGGCTGTAGCGGCAGTCCTATTGAAAGTAAATGCCAAAGGGTAGCTGCAACTCTTATACTTCCCAAAAGGTCACAGACACTGAGAGACAACAGACATTGTGGGAAAAAGAAGCTTATGCAGTCCGATGGGCCTTCCTCACTTGGCAACATTTCCTAGAGGGGAGCCAAGTGCCGTTTGAACTGACCACAAAAACCTAGAGACACTCAAAACTCCCCAAAAACTCTCCCCCAAGCAAGTCCACTGGCACAATACTTCAAACAATTCAACTTTGAATTAATAAACCTCCTTGGGGTGGGGGGGGAGACTGCTTACTGACACCTTGTCCAGGAAGCCACAGTTTAATAGCTGCTACAAAGAAGTGATACATGCCATCATCTCGCCGCCGCCCCCCCCAAGCCACCACCCACCGCCAAGCCAAATGTCAAGATACCACCAGGGGAGGTTCCTGGGGGAGGAGCCTGTCGCCGAAGGAGCTCAACGGAGCCCCTCTCCGAGTTCTGGTCTGTATATCTAATTACGATCAA